AGCTTTACACACAGAAACGTCGCCGTCAGGTCTGACGGTCGGCTATCGACCGGGAAAACAACGTCCATGTGAAAAAGGCGTTAGGGTTGTGCGCAGCGTTGCCAGACGTCCCGATTTTGGCGGGACGTCCCACTTTTTATCCCAAAATTAAACAAAATTAAATTTTTTGGACGAAAGAATCCCGCTTTTTTATTCAAAAAGTTTCAAAATCCCGCTTTGCCCGAAAAAAATCTGGCAACGCTATATCTAGTATACATTAAAAATCAGATTTTTATTACTTCTTCAGTGTTTTAGTGAAATGTTTCTTTGTTCGAAGAACGATTTATAACGGTTTGAGTATGGTATCAAATGCGCATGTCTTTTTATCCATAAATAACTGGTTTCAGATTAAATCGATATGAAATTTTCTATGAACGCATTCTTAAATTATTATTATTATAAGAAATTATTATAAAGATATTATAAAAAAATTATTTAATTGTATTTTTGTATGTTGTCATATTTTTTATTATTTTGGATATGTACCTACACTAAGTACCTACGTAACAAATACAAATTAGAAAAATTTATTTATATTTGTAATTAAATTAAATAAAAACACTGCATAACGTGTTTAACAAAATATAGGTATGTAGGTATAAACATAAACTCAGGTTAACAAGTATTAAGATAAAAAAATATTACAAATTCTACTGTTCAAAAGTTATGCGCATGTAGGTACCAAACCAAAAATTTTTTGAATAGTTCCAGCTGATTTGGAAACTAGTCAGTTCGTCAGTTGTCAGTTGCTTTCTACGAACATCAAATTTGTCGTCAGCGTTGATGATTTGCTGTTCTTCGATTTCGCAAAAGTGTATGCGCCTAATAGTTTCTGATAGTTGCTAACCGTTCTTCGAATAAAGCATGTCATGTTTTAAATGTCGTCACCAATAAGGACTCAATATGCGATTTTTTTTGTACCTAACTGGCACACATCCCGACGATGATTGAAAATTTAAGACTTGAACTCTTGAACAGTTTCTTTCCACCGAGACACTTGTTGCGAGAATTGTTAAAACTAGGCAAAACAATTTGTATGTTACTGAAAATAGGTAGGTACGTTTTTAAATTCCTTGTATAATATTTCTACCTTTTTTTTTTACTTCCAAATTAGGAAATTGTTCGTCTCTGTAGAAAATATTAAGTTCGTTTTTCAACCTATCTATTTCAAAAACATTTGGAATTTGGATAGGTATATTTGAAATAAACATTCAAATTATTTTTTAGGAAATTTGTGTGCATGTTCGGGGACAGCAATATAATTTCGTAGTAGGTATACAGACAGCTACAGCATTTTATAGTTCGAAAACGTCTTGAAAAAGGCGTTTCAAGTTCAAGTAGAGATAAAACAATATCGTGAGCGGGGTTCATTATTACCTACGTATGTCCATTCTATAAAATAATGCCTGTCTATTATATTGTTAAAAATTAGTCTTACCTTGTTTTGTTGTAAGGAAGTTGTTTTTTGTCTACTTTAAATTAATCCCTGCCTTGTCCATGTCCTTAGTCTTTGTACTACCATCACTCACTGTAATCACTTCCATAGATAAGATATACTATCACTGTAATCCAATGAGAATGGGCCTAAAGTTTCCCGCGTAAACACATTATTTTAACCATCTTACCACATATTTACATGCAAGTGTGACACGACTGACACGCTTTTAAGCCATCAAATTGCGGCCTCACTGTGGTGGGACTGGTGGGGAAACTGGGAAGTAACAGTTGAAACACTTGTATTTTGTATTGGACCACATTGTTGTGACGTCACAAGATATGCAATCTAACTTACATGAAGTCATAATTTCTTCCAGAAAAATTAGATTACTTAAAATGAACCTTAATCTATAAGTATATAAGTGTCATTTTCATTTTAAAAATGTAACACGTTATTAAATGATTAATTTCTCTAATATAGACGATATTTAAGGAATTTCTCGAAGTGAACTCAGTAGTTAAATGTTAAATACTTGTACCTACATCATTGTTATAATATAAAATGTTTAAATAACTTTTAAATAAATTAAAAAAAAAACTCCATTTATATTGACCAATAGCAAAACAGAATACGCTACTAACGTCATTTCATTCAGGTGCAGAAGTCAAATTTGAATAATTAAATTAATAAATTATTCTAGATTATACCTGTGATTCGTGTCGCCTGTTATTTATTATTACTGTGTTTATTAGTGACTTATTTTTATATATCATATCTGTGTATGTATATAAAATATTTAGCATGGGCTTGTGTTTCACACCAAATTGCGATCACACAAATAAAACAGGGTGCAAAATGTTTCGCTTTCCTTCAGACTCGAAATTAAGAGCGAAGTGGGAACAATTAGTCAGGTAAATAGGAAACAAGTTGTATCTCAATCAATTTTTTATTTATTGTTTATTACAGAAGGGGAGACCGAAAATCAAATACTTTTTCTGTTTTGTGTTCATGTCATTTTGAGAATGAAGATAAATTTTGATTATTTTTACACTATGTTCATTTTCAAATTTTTCAATAGCAACCATTTCATTATATCTTCCCCATTGAATTTGCTTTATTCCATCCAAATTTGTATTTCCTACAAATAATATTTAAGTATATTTTGTTTTTATTTCTCGAAATATTACAACTTACCACTCACTGTCTGAAATAATGACGGGGGAAATCTACCTCTCTTACAAGCCTTTAATATTCGTCCAATGTTTCTGGCAGTTAACCTATGCTTCCGTGCAACAAACCACGTTGGATTATTGAACTGACCAACAGTTATCTTTTGAATGTCAGTTATTTTTTCATTTGTTAATTTTAATTTTTCCTTCAAGAATGCTATTTTATATGTTCAACATATTCAGCCGAAAAAAGTAATTGTTCAATTTCAACTGTTGTTATACATTCTTTTTCATTACGGTAAATGAAAAAGAATGTATAACATGAATTCATAAAATCACCTCTACAACCAACAATACATATAAATAAAGTGATGTTAAGGATTCTCCATAAATAAGGTATATAACAGGGGTGATCTGCTTGCTGCAGCATAAAAATCTCTTAGATGTATGTGTTTTGTCATTGATTTGGTATCTCCGTCACACCGAAAATAAAAAAATTAAATAATAACCCCTTGACTGATCCTTTTTGTGCAAGAGGTTATTTAAAATTTTTTAGTTTCAGTGTGAATCAACTAAAAAGAGTAACTAGCTGTTTATTGAGTTTAATCTTATTATCGGCGCAATTATTTTCCAGCTGGACGGCAGAATCCACGATGGGCGCTTCTCGTACACAGCCGGAGGGGTTGGCAGAAACATCTGCGAATCACTGTCTAAGCTTGGCTACCCTCCAAACTTCATATCGACAGTGGGTGATGACGAACAGGGAAAACTGCTGAAAACATTCATTCCTCCAGGAAGCCAGCATATGCTGAGGGTGCTGAAAGGTCACAACACAGCACAGTGCATTATTGTCTTCGATAGGAAGGGTGAATGCAAATTCTTGATGGGAGACATGCAGATTCACCAGCAAATCACTCCCGAGGTGGTAAGTGTCTAGGAGTTACGAATACTTAATCTTAGGAGCTAAAAGTTTGTAAAATTATATTGATTTTTACAGAAAGTTGCATTACTAATTTTTATTTTAACATTTTTTAATAACATAATTTTGCTTTCTTAAAAACATTTCTTTTTTGTTACAATTTTCCAAGATAATTCTGTCATTTTTAAGATGAAATTTGGCATAAGGAGATATTTGAGGTAACCAAAGATGAACATAGGTATTCTTATTTTTACTTAAGACAGAAGTCGCTAAGAATACCTGAGACGATTTTTTATGTTTAACACATTTTTTTTGTTGATAAAGATTCTGATACAAATGGATTTAATTTTTTTTCAGTTATAACGCAGTGTCGACTATTTTGGTATATTTGAATTCATTCAAATGTTATTTAATTCTTGCTAAATTTGTACCTTTCTTAAATTTATTTTTTGTTTATTGACCAGGAAAATTTGACTTAAAAAAAACGGAATAAACGAATTTTTTTTTCTCAGATTTTTTTATAGAAAATTGTAGGTTTTGAGGTCAGAAAATATATGTCACACACTCAACCACCAACAATACAGTGTTTTGAGATATAAACATTATACATGATATACGCGATATACGCATTATTTTGGCTCTAAAACATTAATTTTCACATAATCTGTACCTACTTCATTAAAAAAATATATAGGAAAACTATATTGGGAAAATCGAAATATTTCATAGAAGCAATTTTGTAAGAAATTTAATTTTGAACAACTTTTATTTGAAACTTTTTTCGAAAAAATGCATCTTCATTGAGATACTGGCAGTGTTTTGTCAAAGAACGCGAAAAATCAGGTATACGTAGTATATGTCTATATCTCAAAACGCTATATGTTGTTGGTGGTTGCGTGTGGTGTCAAAACCTACCTACAGTTTCCTGTAATAAAAATCACAGAGTGAGAAAGTTTTTTTTCCTATTTTTCTGGCCTATTGAGATATAGGCATCGGCAAAAAAGGATGAACTTTATATAGGAATGCCCCAAAATCTGCTTCTGTATGCTTCAAGTATATCTTTTATAATAGTCACTTTTCACAAAATGCCTGGGTTTTGTGAAGAAATAGCAACAAAACGAAAAATATGGTAAAAAAACAGGACTGTTTCTTGGGTTCTTAGCGAGACCTCTATGTTTTGGGTAAAAAATAAGTGTAATTCATCTTTGAATATTCCAAAACTGCCAAACAGTAAATAGCACTGATGTGTTTATAAAAATGTTGTTCAAGAAAAAAGAAGTTTTTTGAAAATCTGTAACTTTTTTTGCAGTCGATAAAACTACCCCTGAAGTATGGCCTAGTTATGGGACATTATGTATAAACATTTGCTCTTGAAGCTCTCTCATTTTTCAGATACATAGTCTGCTTATAGTTTTAAAAAACAAGTATTCGTACAAAAACTAAAATATAGTCATGGCGCTTTTTGAAAAATCGTTTAAATATGTAATTTTAAAAATCCCTCAGACCTATATATCATTTTAACGAATTTCTAATCTGTACCAATATTCTTTTCAATATAAAGGTCATATTTCAAAAAATGCAAAAAAAATGTTTCACCTGCTGGCGTTAATTTGTGTGGAAAATGTAACAAGTACCTCACATCTACCCCATTGATTTATATTAAGCAAATTTTTTCATTTTATTCATGTATTGTGGATACAAAATTTCATTTCAGGATCTTTGATTTGGAAGTGATTTATCTACTTTTTTTTTAACTTTAACATCCTTTAACACAAACACAATGGCTTCAAAGACACAGGTTTATACATAAGAGTAAATAAATTATAATTATAATATTTATTTACTCTTATGGGTTTATATAAGGAAATATTCTCAAAGGAAGAGAAAAATTCTCCTTCATTTTTGAACTATTGCTGTGTTACACCCTGTACAAGTTCCATTACACATCTATCAGATCACATCACTATTTATATAATAAACAGATATAGTAAACCAACATAATAGAACTAATATGTCCTTGCTGATAAGTAAGATTGCGCCATTTTCATTTGTTACCTACCAAATTTTATCTTGTATCAGAAGTAATGTGCAGGCACAGGACTGAACGACAAAAACACATCTATACAAATTTTTTAGATTCAACTAAATGAAGATATCATAAAAACAGCACCGCTGATAGTCTTGGATGCCAATCTAAGTCTAGAATGCTTCGAAAGTACCCTCAAATTGGCCACAAAGTACTCCATACCAGGTGAGCTTTTCAAATATTTATTACAAATAATAAAATATATACTTAAGGAGAGGTTACAATAATCTTGAGTTGTCACAAGGTGTTTGTAAAGTCTACTGTTAAAAACGAGCCTCAATTTCAAACAACTTGCAATGATCTCTGTTTTAAGTCAAAGATTTATTACCCTCAACAACTATGTCGAGATAGAAAGTTTTATCGAATTTTCAGTATTCAGCACATTTGCGCTGTTTCGCTTTTCATGGAGCCACCCTAAGAACTCGATTATTTTAAATTGAAACGTTTTGATATTTTATCACACATTAATTACCCGCAAAGTCATTACTCTGATATAACTAAATTTGATCTTGAGGCTTCCGGTTCTACAAAAAGGAGTGAACTTTATTTTTTAAAAGTATGCTAGCATTTTTCTAGAAACTGTTAAAATTTTAGAAAAAAGAAAATGTTCGAAACCGCTTGAGATATTTCAGTGATATTTAGTACATAGTGATAGTGATTGTTCAATAACAACATTAATTAATTACAGACAATAAACTGGTTTTATTTTTTTACTCAAAACCATCAGCGTACATTTTTTTCTTTAAAAATATCAAAGTCAGTGCTTGTATGCACGCCACTGTTAGAGCTAAAAATTCTGTTTGTATTGAAAACCATGCGCCCTTATTAACTATCACTACATATTAAATATCACTGAAATATCTCAAACGGTTTCGAAAATATTAATTTCCCTCTTTTTCCTAAAATTTTAACACCTCGTATTTTTACAACGGAACATTTTTTGACCATAGTTTATAAAGGAAACTATCATTAATTTTCCATGTAGAATCACACCCTTAAATATTTGCATATCATTAAGGAATACCTTGTATAATCAGATATTTTGTTAATCTTATAAAAAATTACCTTAGATTTTCTTAGGATTATTTGGGTGTAGATATTTGCTATTTTACATAACGCTCTGTACAGGATAAGATAAGGTCAGCGGCTCCAGAAAGGTATATTAAAAATGACTTGTGTGGTAACATCGGCGAGACATAAATCTACTTTTGACACAAATTCTGCCTCGCATCTCGCCGCGTTCTGGTGATAATTGATCAAATAGGCGCTAGAGCAGGTATTTATCAAAATTGTTTTTTTCAAAAACTATTGCAGCTATCCTAATGAAACAAAAACTGTTCGTTAGACAAAACATTAGTCTACATTATATATTTTTTATAGAATTTTTCTGTTCTATTTACTATTATAAAAAATAAAAATTATTTTTTTTTCTAGATTTTATTCTTAGTTCACGCAGAGGTACAATCACAGAAAAAATATATAATGTAGCTTACTATCTCTAGTATTACTACCAAAAAGTGCATACATATAAAATGGGTGCAACACTATCAAAAAAAATTAAAACTTCTTATGACCATCTTAGGTACTAATGACTTCCCATTTGTGACACCATTATCATCTGTTTGTTTCTCAAAAATATATTAGGTAGTAGTTAAAAATGTAAGGATGACTTTGATTTTGACATAAACAGATGAAAATTGTTTGTGGAAATACGTTTTTAGAGAACAAGACGAAACCTGTCGCTTTCCAGATAGTCGCGTGTGTGCATTGTGTTTTGTTTACGCATCATTTTTATACCCGCACCACTATAGTAGCTCGACTTCAATTATTATGTGTGGATTGTTTCGGATTATTAAAATTTTTTTATAGTTAAAGTGTTTTATTTGAACTTGCCTCACGGTTTTTGTTTGATTTACCTATTTTATTTTTATTTATTTTGTTTTGCTTTATTTTATTTGTTTTATTTTGTTTTGTTTATTTTTTTATTTCATTTTAATTTGTTTTGTTTGTTTTTATCTTATTTTGTTTTATTTTAATTTGTTTGTTTTTATTTTATGTTACTATATTTTTTCAGAAGACAATTTTTTGATGGTTGTTGTTGCAGTGGAGCGGCCTCTGCTTCTTTCTATTGTCGGCGAAACCCCTCTGGACGGTTACTGTGTAGTGGTTGATTTTGGGTTTTGTTAAAATAAAAGGAAAATTTTTGTTGCTTGTAACGTGTGAGCTGGTTGTTTGCAACGTGGAATTTTTCGTTGTAATATTAAATCGTAGACGGTGATTTGACGTAGTTGCGAATTCTTTTTATAAAGTTTGATCCAGCGCGAAGTTGCTTGAATCGAGTGTCGATAATGATCGGAGCGTGGCCGGCTAGGTTGCTAACAACCAGCTCACACGTTACAAGTACAACGATAAAAAAACTGTCTTAAATTAAAAAATAAACAAAACAAAATAAAACCAATAAAATAAAGCAAAACAAAAACAAAACAAAATAAATAAAAATAAAATAAAATAGGTAAATCAAACTGAAACCCTGAGGCGAATTCAAATAAAACAGTTTAAGTATAAAAAAAATTTAATAATCCGAAACAAGCCGCACACGATAATTGAAGTCGAGTTACTATAGTGGTGGTGGCATAAAAATGATAGGTAAACAAAACACAATGCACACACGCGACTAGCTGGAAAGCAACAGGTTTCGTCTTGTTCTCTAAAAACGTATTTCCACAAACAATTTTCATCTGTTTATGTCAAAATCAAAGTCTTCCTTACATTTTTAACTACTACCTAATATATTTTTGAGTAACAAACAGATGATAATGGTGTCACAAATGGGAAGTCATTAGTACCTAATATGGTCATAAGAAGTTTTAATTTTTTTTGATAGTGTTGCACCCATTTTATATTTATGCACTTTTTGGTAGTAATACTAGACATAGTAAGCTACATTATATATTTTTTCTGTGATTGTACCTCTGCGTGAACTTAGAATAAAATCTAGAAAAAAAGTATTTTTATTTTTTTTTTAATAGTAAATAGAACAGAAAAATTCTATAAAAAATATATAATGTAGACTAATGTTTTCTCTAACGAACAGTTTTTGTTTCATTAGGATAGCTGCAATAGTTTTTGAAAAAAACAATTTTGATAAATACCCGCTCTAGCGCCTATTTGATCAATTATCACCAGAACGCAGCGAGATGTGAAGCTGAATTTGTGTCAATGGTAGATTTATGTCTCGCCGATGTTACCACACAAGTCATTTTCAAAATACCTTTCTGGGGCCGATGACCTTATCTTATCCTGCTAGACCAAGGGTCGGCAACTGGCGGACCGCGGTCCAGGTCCGGACCGCGGAAGATAAAATACTGGACCGCCAAAAGTGTTTTGAAAGTATAAATTACTCAAATAAATTATTTAAAAAATGTTTTTTTACGTTTGAGTGCCAACCTTATCATTTTTTCTAGTATTTTACAATTGTGTGAGTGTTTTGAGTTCTTAGTGGTTAGTAAGCAGATTAAATTTGAGTTTAAATGAGAATTTGTAAGAAATATGAATTTTTTTCTGGACCCCGTTAAAAATTTTTAAAAGTATCCGGACCGCACCTAAAATTACTTGCCGACCCTTGTGCTAGACCCTTTTGGAGAAAAGAAATTATTCTCTCGCATCAAGTGTATGGGGAAACGTGTAAATCTAAGTATCATTACTGAGAAATATACCTAAAAGTCAGAAAAAAAAACAAAATCAAAATGTTCTCAAAGAAAATACTGGATATTTGTGTTTAAGTGAGTATTTATTAACACAAATAAAAAAATAAGAAACAATACAATTTCAACTAGTATTAGAAAAATTGGACGGATATCGTTAGTATAAACTTATTACAGCATAATTACATAACACATTATTTTACATTTCGTTAATATATTTCAAAGATATAATTTTTATTCTGGAAAATCCAGAATAAATGAATGCGTTGCTATTTTGACTGTACTATAATTACAAACCACACTGCTAAACAAGCAAACAATTATCAGAAAAATATTATTATATCACTGATCTTATTACTCTTTGTTAAATTTAACAAACAAAAGGCACTATCAGTCAATTTGTACCATTCGGTAATACAAAAGCAATACCGAATTTGTCAAAAATTAAATTGACATGCGGATTTAAATGCAGAAAAATTTGTATGACAATATCTTGCCCAAAGATAAGGCACAACTTTGCACCACACAGCTCAACGATTTCTATATAAAAAATAATATACTTATGTAAATCTCGTGCACGTATACAGAAATCTTCAAAATGTCCAGTAACTACACACAATGTGACTTAATTATTAATACCATTGTTTATATATGATATAGTTAGTTTGCTGGTCAAACTTAAGGAAGAAAATACTAGACGGCGTCTCTAATAAAATCCCTCACACCCAAGTTTAACCCGCCATCCAACTATGATCTAATAATTAAACATGGCCAACACTATTCCTACTTTATAACCTCTAACAATGTGAAAAAGAGCCAGTACAAACCCTTTATATGGTGTATTTTACTTATTTACTGCATACTCCACCCTAAGCGGTGCTGCGGGTTGGGGTGCATCTGCATAATTAAATTCTTCGATTCGCGTCTTCTCTCGTAGCTCAGTCTAGCTTCTTTGTACAAGCAAACGGCGGCAAAGGCGTGGAAGAAACTTGACAAGCACGCCATGCCGTAAGCCCAGCTCAAGAAATTAAAATTGGGATACATCAACCAATCCCGTCGTGTATAAGACCCTCCGAAAACGACTACAGCGAAAAACATGAACACGGCTAAAATGAAACGACGACAGCAAGTTTTATAAGAACATATCAAAAATAACATCTACTTACTTGTAGTAGTAATACAAACGAAATTGATAGCCGATAGGATCCACTCGTACTGCAATACAAACTCTAGAGGCCAACGGCACAACTGCAGAGCCATGACAATTTGGGAACCAAAACTCAACAGGAAAGACATAGTTACGAAGGCTTGAACTGCCATTAACCAAGGAGGTAGTAGAAATTCTCTGATGACATAGTACTCTTGACTGAAAACGTGGTGGCACCCATCAAAGTAGTGATCAAACTGATAGGCGGGGTAACGGTAGTTGTCGAAGCAATACTCCCACAGGCCCATGTTTTTGAAATCGGAAAAGGTTTCATCAAAGGACTTCACCCAGTAAGGGCTACAAAACGCTATCATAAGCAGTAATCCAGCTATATAAGTCAAAATAGCTCCATTTACTAGGTACCCTAAAAAAATAGGTGTGCCACCGTTTGTAAATTAATTTAGCGTTGTTCCTCACCTGATGCTTTTGGGTAGTTATTCTTTTCTACGTCCCTCATTGTGTATACTGATTATGATTACGAATGTTATTACAGTAACTTTATAAAATCTAATTAATTCCCTTAGTCATGGGTCAATTTCTTGTTCAGTTGGCACTTGCATTTATCCATTTACAAATTACAAACAAAACAATGAAAACTGTCAATCTAGGGATTTTATTCAAAACTACAAAACCACACCTATTTGACATTATGACAGCATTGCCACTTGCCAGATTGGTAAAAGCAAATTATCGTATGGAAATCGAAAAATTGTCGCACATATCCAAATCTTATTAATTTACTTCTTATACTTACCTTTACCTGCATAAAGAAGGCTAGGATAAATAAAAACAAAATATGGACGACTAATATCTAAAAAAAGAAAATTACAAAAAAATTCGTTCTTTAAAAATTTGTTATAATTACATATTATGTATCCAAATTTTTTATCCGTCTAGCACCTTTCAGCCTTTCACACAAAACTTTTATACACAAATAAACGTTAAACTCCCTACATATTATATTAATAATTGTGAGATATATTTATTACTATTCTATTACTTATTAATTTATACCAAAAATTGCATAGAATTTTTTTAAGAAACAATGGCATTTCCCAGCTAGCCCTAAAACTTGCACTTTTCGAAAGGGAAAACATTATTAGGTAGGTATATTACAGGTAAATAATTTAAATTTCAATTCAATTGTATACACATTTGTTTTATTTTATAATTTAAAATATAATTCTACAATTCAGGAATATCAAATATATCTCAATATATTCTTCATGTATGTATCTCACATGAACTAAAAAAAAATCTTACGAATTATATCGTATTTTCCAACGTACATACATCCACACAAGTTTATCGTATAAAAACGATAATTAACGTACATTTGGCAACACTGATTTGAACAGAAATATTTGAAACTCGTTTTTGAATAACTATTCCAGGATAAATAGGTACCTAAGGAATAATTTTTTAGACATCTTAAAATAATGGTGTCTAAAGACAGTATGTGCGCTTTTTTTAATTCTTAATAAAAATTTAAAAAATATTAAACTGATAGGTCAGGTTAAACGTTTTGTGTATGTTGAAGGTACGGAAAAGTCTTAAATTGTATAAATGCTTCGAACTAAAGTGGATTTAGCTATCTCTAGATTTGTTTTGTTGATGTGCACCACAAAAATATCCAATTTTTAAATTTTGTTGTATAACTCGATCCACGTAATTTTTTCCAAAATTATTTTTGCAGAATAATAAAATTAAACTATTATTTTGAGTGTCAATTGTTAAAATAAACTGGCATATCTATCGTGCTAAATAATTTTTATAATACTAGCATAAACTTATCTCAATATTTTTTAGTGGTCTGTAAGAATTTCTATTGAATAAAAAATGAGCATCATAAATCTGTATGAGAGAGATAAACATATAAAAATATTTTTTTATTAAAATCGTCAAAATTAAAATTATTTTTAATATATTTCTACATAAAAAATATTAAAAGGACGGCATCAGTTACAAAAATGCATTAAAATTAAACTAAATTAAAGACATACTTCTTAATATAACAGTATTATTTATCTAATGTCTTAAAAATTTTATATTATAGCAAAATACAAATTGAATTGGTATCATTCCGAAAGATAAAGTTCGGGTCATTTTTTGAATATACAGATCTATCTATACCTAGACGTGAAGGGATACCTATATATAAAATATATTACAATGAAGGCACCACAACATTTACAAAATTGTTCTTACAGTTTATTATAAACAATCGTTATAATCTGATGTATTTCAATGATTGCAAACTTTATTTTCACAATATGTCATAATTATATTGATATAAAACAGCGTTATACGATATATTAGTATTCGAAATGAATGTTATTTTTATAAATTATATACAACTATAGATCGTAAATAGCTTTTAGCCTGTGCTACAATTTAAAGCACAGCCTTATTTATTATTTATTAAAACTGGAGAAAAGGGATAAAAAATGAAATCTTGCCAATCGGTATAAAACTAAATATCTATAACTAGACGTATTAACTGACAACTAACAATTTTTGTACATGAAAGGACGGTTAGTCAAGAAAATTGTAAATATGATGTTTTTGGTCTACCAACCCTTCGTCTCGGGCTCCATCTCAAAACGAGCTTGTGATTCCTTCAACATCCTCCTCTTTCGACGTTGGACGTACGCTTCCGTGTAAAATAACGTTGAAGCTATCAAACACGCCACAACGCCTATGCAAGCCAACGCAAAGGACCACCCGAAGAAGTTGTTATCGTGACCAGGCATCCAATCGCCTTTATTCGCTCGAATGGCGAAAATAATCACTGCAATGGCCCCCGAAACACCTCCGACTAATAGAATCCCCGCGTCTAGCAGAATAAGTAAAACGAACATTTTCTGGTCAGGTCCAAAACATAAAAAGTAAACTAAGGTCAGAATCGCACCCAGCAAGACTGCTATGAAGCATAACGTAAAAAAAAATTGGGTGGCCACCATGAATGGGGGAACTAGGAAGCCGCGTATCTTGTCGTATCCGGTCGTAAACGGGTCATATATCCATCGACAACCTACGAAGAATCTGCGATTGGAGATATCGTAGGGGTCTGCGAGTGACCTGAAGCAATGTGTCCATAGTCCTAGGCGGTCCATCTTGGCACCGGTTATTCTGTAGTCAGAAACTAACCAACTTGGCGTTGAAAAGGCTACCACGATCAGCACAAAGGCTATGACAAAGAAACCAATAGCCACATTTCCTTCTAGTGATCTCTTCTTCGTCTGAAACATAGAATATATTAGTAACAATATAAACAAATCGTTTCAAAAACACACATTAGAAGAGAATGAATTAAAAGCCCACAACTTTTGTGTAATTAGGTAAAGTGGAATTTAAAAAACCGATATTTGTAATTTATTTTGAAATGATTTGAAAATAACAGAAACCTAGAGCTAGAACTGGGCGTAACTTTTATTTACCTCGTTTTCTTCGTACTCCACCATTGAGTCACTAATAATGTCAACAACCACTACACTGTTTAAATCTCCTGCTTAAATTCCGTAGTTAAATACGGAGTTAAATTATTTTTAACTAAATCAATATATTTCACTGTTTTTAATAACAAACTTTGTTTATAATTTTTATGCCAAAGGCTTTCAACGTATTCTTCCGACAGAAACTTTATCTTTGACCACACCTGCAGACTGTTTACGACGTTACGTTTACCTCAACTGACCTGTTCCACCATTACTAGCGAGCGGCATACGTCATAGAAAACTTGTTAGCACTATATTCATATTTTCTATCATGGCATAACATTAAATGAATGAGGCTGTAATCCAGCGCTTGGAGTTTGTATGCATAATATCGAATATTTTATAGAAAACAATAACTCCGTCATTTTTGGTCTGTTTTAGAAAACAGAAAATTGGCCTTAATAGCTCCAAAAATATTATAAACTAGCATTTAGGTACTATTGTTTTCAAGATTTCAAGACATAATGTACCATAATGACAGGCGATCGTTTTTTATTTCTTTAAACATTTTTATTTGTAAACTATGTGTTTAATCCGATAGAGATTGTTTTCCTGAACTCGGCAATATATTATGATAACTTGATTTTCCGATGCTCTGCGTAACAAGACTTTTTTGTTGCTTTCGTAATAATATTAAATTTAATGTATAGGTACAAATTTAAAGGCAGAAACATAGTTATACGTGACACGTATTGCCACGTCGTACATAATGTTTTCTACACACGACAATTTTGTTGAGCAAAATTCAAGGCGGAAACAAAGGTGTCAAATATCATTTGATTTAGAAAAAAAAATACACATTTTTAATCACTGGCAAAATTACTTTCTTCACGGTTTTATTGCGTAATCAATATTTTTCAAGGATTATTCTAACGTTTCATAAAATATATAAAATTTTAGCACCACGTGATATTGTAATAAAAATGTCAGTCTGACGACGGCGACGTCTCTAGTTGTTACCCTCCATCCCAAAATTAATAAATGATAACGACGAACCACTTAAATCGAGCCGCTCTCTATAGATCAGGTCCCAAACCGGAAAAAAGGGCATCATTAACACCACATTATATTTGGTCACATATTAATAATTTAAACAAAAAAGTCGTGTTGTACATATGTCCCACGTAGTTATAACAATTTATATTCATCTCAAAGAACGTATTATCGTTGCAAAACACCAATTACTTCCAAGGTTCAAACGCATTTTACACAATGGATATACTTGAACTATTTCCAAAGAAAATAATACACTCCACAGTTCATGAAATCTTTTATTTTGTACAAAAGTCCATAATATAAATCTATGAATACATAATTTTACTTAAACAACCTTCTATTTAGAACAATGGTCGAGTCTTCTACAATGTACAATGTTTTTTGGGGGAATTATAGTGCTAAGGCCCATTCCTCTCGGCCAAAGCTTCAGGTCAACATTAAAAAACAATAATATTGTTGATTATTCACATTCAACAATCACCTGTTTGTTTTTTTTTTATTATAACTACGAATTAAAGGAAACACTGATTTTTGGCGGTTAGATACACTTAGTATCTTGGGAACCTCATTTTTATTCCTTATATTAAAAACAGAGTGTAATCACATTTACGGACGGATTTAAAATTAGTGATGGTTTTAATTATTAACTACATAATACAAAAAATATAAAAATATTTGGACGGCTTTTGGTTAAAAGATTATAAATATAATACTTCCAGTATTTAGTTAATACCATTCCTTCTGTTCGTTTTTAAACTTTTAAAATTAGTTCCTAAATTTGGACCTACCTAAATATTATGACTCATATAAAAATAAAAAAAAACAACTCTAAATAAACAACTTAATAAGCCACGGCAGTAAATCTTATTAAAACGGACTTATAACGTTCTAAATATCAGTATGGTAAGCCGCAGGCTCCTTCCTAACATCCATACTATACTGAGACGCTGGCTGGGATCCCCTCAAGCGACGATAACGCGCTCTACGTGCCTCCACCAAGAACAAGGCACCGGCGGGCAAAAGTAGCAAAGATCCCACACAAGCAAAGCCAAATGACCAGCTCAGATCATTATGTTGCCAGTGGGGCATCCAGTCCCTATTATCGCCATTGGCCCCGAAAATACAAACAGCTATGAATCCGAAAAAGCCTCCAAGCATTAAATTGGCACCATTACTTAAGAGAAGCAAGAGATATTTGTCATGGTCCCTGCTACAGAAGCAATACATCCATGTGAAGAATGCGCCGATTAATACTAGGGTCATGCAAAGGGTATAGAAAAACTGAGTCGCAATGAAGAATCCAGGTAGTAGAAAGTCGAAAATAATATAATATTCTTCTTCAAACACCCACCAGCAGCCAGTAAATCTGTAGTCGTACTGGTGACGAAAATCTTCAAAATTATTAAAACAAACCTCCCATAATCCTGTAACAATGTCAAAATATGTGACAAGGGATTTAAAAAAGCTACAATTAACTATTAGTCATCAACCTGTTAATTAATTCAAGAGCAACACCTAAATCAAGTGACCACTCCTACTCAATTTTCTTTCAACTATTGACTTACCTATACGTATGAATTTGGGATCTTTTATTTTCCCGTCGTTTACTAGCCAGTAAGGAGTACAAAAAGATATCAAAACAAATAGAAAGGCCACAACTGTTACTGCTATAGCACAAATTCCTGTTTTTGTTTTCATCGCCATTTTTTCTGTTGTGTTGATTAAACCGTTGGACAGTTCTCTTTTTTATTATTGACAGCAATGACAGTCAATTGACAGTGACAGCTGACAGCCGAATTATCTTCTTCTTCCTAAAAGAAAAAATAGATGCTTCTAATGGTCAAAACTTATCTAGGTTAAGAGTAATTTGGAGATAATAAAATGAACGATATTTTTCATTTGCCTCCACTGCTTTTACACTTTCTGCATGAAATCGTTTCTTTCGCAAATATATAAATCTTCGGATATTGTATTAATATCGCTGTCAAGGTACATCTTTCTCCATTGCACGCGGGTAGAATAAAAATACCTAAATGCAAGAACAAGGTGAATTTGAATACAAATACAATACAAAAATTGCACTATACATTCAAATTAAAGCTATATATATATATATATCTGTGATTCTATATTAATTTCTTCTTTGGGGGGACTACTATAACTTGAAATAAGAAATTAATCTTCTTTACCTTTTGTAAAANATATATATATATATTAAATATTTTCTGTTTTTTTCAGTGTTGTTTGAACCAACAGATGTGGAAATATCCGACAAACCCTTTAAAACCCCTTACTGGAAAGCTATAAAACTCATTACACCTAATTTAAATGAACTGAAGCATGTTACAACTTTCTTAAACATTCCAAAAAATACAACTATTTCGAGCCCTCTAGATGAAGCCATATATCTTGCTAAACAGCTTGCATCGGGTTGGATAGAAAATGTAATTGTAACGCTTGGTCCATCTGGAGTGCTAATAGCCAGAAGAGGTCTGGCGACGGATTCATTGCTAAACTATCAACAGACTAGTGAAGTACTTGTTCGGCACTATCCTTGTAACGTGATAGAAGATTTTGTTAATGTCAGCGGAGCTGGAGATTGTTTAGCAAGTGGGATAGTAGTGGGTATCCTTAAAGGGTTATCTGAAGCGCGATGTCTGTCGATTGGGTTCTCTGCCGCAAAGTCAGCTTTATATTCTCAATCTGCCGTTCCTGAACAAATGTTAGGAGAAACTCTGGTATCAGGAAATGTTGAATCGTCGTTTCAAACAATACATCTGTAATTCAAGAAATGCCTGACTTTATTTTCCTGCTGCATTTACAATAAAATAAATCTAAAAAACTGTTAATATGTTAGTAATTTCATTGGTTTTGTATTAGTTGTGTTTCTAGAGCAATTCAAAACAGGTTCCAATATAGTCATACATATGCGCATCGATCAAAGGGTTCAAAATACATTGTTTCGAATCAAATGCAATTGCGTCTGACTTATTGAAAACTGTTTCTAAAGTACTAGGAACAAAGTTATTGCATAACCTGTTTCATCACTATAATTTTAATCAATTTGAATGGATTATTTAGAATTTCGATCATTCATTTCAGCAAAAGGTGTATAAATAATTATTTTTTTTGAAACAGACCAATAATATATTGATGGAATTTTATCACGTCAACAGGATGAAAAGTCGCTAGATTGACAAGTACAGCAATCACGCTATTTTAATATAATTTTAAGACAGATTTAAAAAAAATCTAATTTTAATAATAATAGGTCTGTTCCAACATGAGTCAGAAATTGGTTCCGAACCGTTCGAAATACTTCACAAACGTTTTTCAACCTTTCTGTTGCTTTATCGAAACACGCATTTTTTTCGCACGGTCGAGAAATAGCCAGAAATTATGGGCGTGGCTTAACTCTTGCTACGTCACAAGATTACTAACTTAGAATTCATGTTTGTTTACATGCGACTTTACTAATAATTTTGCATTTTTCCAGGTATTTAAGTAAATCTTTCATAGTTGTTTGGGTATTTTGCAGTAATTAGTTAGTTATTGATAATAGTTTTTAATAAGTTGATGGTGTAGTGTTTAATATAAACTATTAATTTACTACGTAAAAATGCCAGGAGTGAGGTGTAGTGTTGTAATTTGCAATAATAATTTTTATAGTGCTAAACAAGTCAATTTAAAAACTTCATTTAATGTGTTTCCTAAGGATAAAAGGCTTAGAAAGATATGGGAGGAAGGTGCAAAAGATGCGATTTGTTTAATCATATAACTGGACACATTTTGAAGACAAACTTTGAATGCAATCTTCAAGTAGAGCTATTAAGTTTATCATCAAGAAAAAGACTTAAAAACAGGTTAAATGTTAAATTTCTAATTTACCTGATTGTATTCACTTTAAAAGGACTAAATTTATTGTTATTGTTGTATAACAAATTGATGTGATTGTTAGAAAAGCGATTGGAAATTTTAAGTACCTATCTATCGAAATGTGTTTTTAATATTATTGTAAACTTGATAATTTTTCTTAAAATTAAATGTTATGTCGAAAGTTCTGTGAGAATAACATTTCTTTCCTCTTCTTCCTTTCATTTTATTCCTCAATTTAACTCCAAACACCGAAAAAAAACTCTTTCAAGACCAAAAACTACTGTATAGTTTACTTGGAAAAACTTAGGAATTTTTTAATTCGAAACATCATCGACTGTAAAACTGTAGTTGGTAAGTACAAAAATAAATTATGTTGCAGCCTATTGCAAAGTACTTTGGTAAGTTATTTGAAATTTAACTAAAGACAAAAGCAGATACAATAACATCATATAAACTTTTTATTTTGGAGCCAAGAGAATATAGATCTAAATTGTTTATATATTCACTTCCCCTCTTCATTTTATTAGAGTTTATAGATATTAATAGACATCTGTAATAAAATTAACACAAATTTTAGGTTAATTATGTAACCAAACGTCAAAATTGGTGACCGATCGTGGTGTGTATTCAAGACACTTTTACATTTCATCCTTTTAATTCCAAATTCCAATGTAGAGGTTCAGTTTGTATGTAAAGGTAACATTTTAGACTCAAAATACCTGTTAATTAACCATAATCATAACTGATTAAATTTATTATTTTATGTTAAAAGGAGCGTAGTACAAGAAAATTGACAATTTTAAATTTGCCTCTTATTTTCTTATGGGATATGGGAGATAAACTGAGGAATTTGGTGACGTATTTGTTTTTTATTGGCTGATTGACTTATGCGGCGACCGTCTCTTTACGGACCGTGGGTCTATGGCACAGACGTTGACGTTGTAAACCATAGAAAATTGAATATGTTTATTTGTTGTAATGTAAAATGTAAACTAAAACGTCAATGGTCTACTGAGGCAACAGCGAATTTTATACACAAGTTTTTTAAAAAATAAAAACTGAAAAGTCTGAAATCTCAATATATGTACAACAATTATAACATTTTGAAATGAATTCTCGAATTAAAAGAGTCACCCATGTGATATTTGATATGGATGGAGTTCTTTTGGGTAATACTCAGAAATTAATAAAGTTATAAATAAACAATATAATTTATTGAACAACAATATTGGAATATATTTTTAAAAATCTCGCAGATACGGAACCATTGTATACTGTAGCCATTCAGAATGTTGTTGGTAAGTATGGAAAAGTATATGACTGGTCCGTTAAGTCTCACATATTGGGCCTACAAGGAATAGAAGCGCCTCGAAAGATTGTAGAGTTATTAGACTTACCCATTTCTCCAGAAGAACTTTATGAGTTGAATAAAATCCAATATAACATTGTTATGAAAGATGCTCAAGTAATTTCAGGTATCTATCTATAAGATGTTGACAATTTTTATTTATAGATAATAAACTTAACCAAAATATACCTAATTTACAAAATGTTAATAATTAAAGTATTACAAATACTTCAGTATTCATAAAAGACATATATGTATTTACTCTCGTGCAATTTATAAATTCTTGTCTAAATAAAAATAACTCGATATTTCGAACTATGTAGAAGTTTTTTTATCTTGTAATTAGGAACAACTTTCTTTACGTATTTACAATTTTGTCCTGGCTTTGTACAATATTTAATTTCAGAAACAGCAAAAGTAGTTGAACATTTACATAAACACAACATTCCCATAGCTGTAGCAACTTCATCATATGAAGAGATCTTTCATGTGAAAACAGCAAAACATAAGGACTTTTTCACCTTATTTAATCACATAGTTTGTGGAGGTTCCGACCCAGAAGTTAAAAAGGGAAAGCCTAGCCCAGACATATTTTTAACATGTGCCTCAAGGTAATAAAAAATTTGGAATCAAAGAAATCTCTGTAACTCTAGCAACTTTTGATAAGATATTAAATTGTTTGTTTAATTTTATATATATTCAAAGTTGAATTGGTTATGTTAAGTTTTGCAACAACCTCTTCAGATTTCCAGATAAACCGTTACCCGAAAACTGTTTGGTCGTTGAAGATGCACCCAATGGTGTTGCAGCAGCTATCGCGGCTGGGATGCAAGTGATTATGATTCCCGATGACAATTTATCTGCAGAACTGAGAAAAGATGCCCACTTAATAGTGAATTCTCTTGACCAAGCTCCGTTAGATTTATTTGGTCTACCTCCATTTATCAGTTAGAAATAAACAGTTAAATAAAAACTTATCACATTGATATAAGAAGTGATATAAATCAATAAATTAATTTCTTTCTTTTTACTTCCCATTCCTTTATACTAGTGGCAAATCAAATTAAATTTGATTTTAAGTATGAAAATACACAAGTAAAAGCATTTATTTTCTACAGGGTTATATTATATTAACAAGAATTTTGACAGCAAATTTCTAAATTTATCAAAAAAAATTCTTACATTCCAAAACGATTAATTTTCGATACACAAGGTGTTAAAAAATTAATGAAAACTTGATATGTTTTGAAGCTCAAAAAATAGTTGTAGGAAGTCATGAAAATAATACTTAATTTAACTAAGAGGTTAGGTTTCGCCATGAGTAACTAAATTTATTTTTATATTTAGTTACTCATATGGGTTTCCCTATATGCAAAGCGTACGAAAGCGAGCTAATTCGTAAAACTTATTCCATATAAGAAATGCACATGCTTCAGGGAACCTCAAAGCATTGTTTAAAAGGGTATTTAAATTTAAACAATGCTCAAAGCAAAGTGGATTGCCTCTGGACAACTGACTGTGTGTATTTAATCTATGGTAATGGTACTATGCAGAGGTACTATGTATGCAACTGACTCTAATTAAAGTTTCTGTGCTCTAGTTGTCGTAGTTTATAAAATAAAATCAATGGTTGTGCAGAGAAGTACGCGGCAACAGTGTAACGGCGATTTCCCTAAGTTTTCCAAAAAATATTTTTTAAAACCATCAAATTTGGGAAAATGTCAGCTGCTCTAAAATTTACATCGGGATTAAGAGAATTAAGAATTCATTTATGTCAGAAAGGTGCAGCAAGTCAAGGTGTCAGGTAGAGTAAAAATCTAAGAACTGTAGGTTATGTAATATAACAAACATTATTTTTTAGAGATTTTATCGAGAAATATTATGTGGAATTGAAACAGAATAATCCCAAATTTCCGATACTAATAAGGGAATGTTCAGGAGTTCAGCCAAAACTGTGGGCACGATATGGTATGTACTATATTTAAATCGTTACTTGAAGCAATTTAATTTAATTTTCTTTTAGAATTTGGTAGGGAGAAATGTGTATCTCTTAAGGACCTGTCGGCTGCAGATGTATTGAATCAACTTCAAAATGTCACAAAGTAATTTAGTTAATAAACTGTGGATAGGTTTTTAAAAGTTATAATTTAAATAGATCATTCAAAGAGCATATATATGTATCAGGCATGTTTTCCTACAATTAAATAGCATGAAAGAGAGAAGTGAGGTTATTTTGGTTTTCTATTATTATTTTGAACAAAAACAACAAAATAACAGAACAGATTTATTTTTACACAAGGTCTACTTATATGCTAACTGGACAATGGAGGTAAACCAAATAAATCTAAGGGAGCCGTTTCGAGAGAATTAACTACTACGTGTGCATCCTTTCTCAATTCTACGGGTACGTTTTCATCGGGAATCATAACTACTTGCATTCCAGCGGCAAGAGCAGCTTTAACACCGTTAGGTGCATCTTCGAACACCAAACATTTTTCAGGATGTGGTTTATCTAAAAATCTAGAAAGAAATCACAACATGAAAAACTTTGTTTAAAAAAAATAACTAATTTACCTTGAGGCGCAAACTAAAAATATATCTGGCTTTGGTTTTCCCCCTTTCACTTCCGGATCGGAGCCACCGCATACCACGTGACTAAACAGAGAGAAGAAATCTTTGTGCTTCGCTGTCTTTAAAGTAAAACTATCTTGACTCGATGAGGTCGCTACAGCTATGGGAATATTGTTTTTGTGTAGGTGCTTGACCACCCTTGCAGCTCCTAAAATTAAACACTGTAAGGCGAACATGAAAATATTGAATCTCTTGAGTCTTTCAACCAATTAGCAGTTTTTTTTTTACTTTAGGTCTCAATTTAATCGAAATTTTTTGTATTTTGGCGGCAACTTGCTATGAATCTAATAAATAGTAATTCTAAAATCACGAAACAAAAATGATTTTGTTTTTATGATCTGATAGATTTTAGAATTAAAAATAATTGAAAACTTATTTTTAATCTGTTTTCGACTAATTGCTATTTACTTCGACCACACATATTCCCATTTTCGGCTACTCCCATATTGTATACATAAATAAATAACCTTTATTTTCCTTAGAAACTTTGTAATAAAGTATGGGAATAGTCGGTAAAAGGAAAAAAAAAAGAAAAGTCATAATTCTTATACTGCAAGAATTTAGTAATTTACAGCCCATAAGAAATAAATAAATAAATAATAAAATCAATAACCTAATTAAGAATAGTTCATTAAGGTACTTTTTGATTTTTTAGGTAAAGTTCGCTTTAAATTTTTTTACGGTTTTAACGCTTTCATGTTTTCATTTTTAATATGAACAGAACTGTGAGGTGAGAAGTGATAATCGATAACAGGGAAACAGCGAAGGAAATAATATTTATTCACAGTTAGTCAAAAACTGTATTGGTTATATAACCGGCCCAGTAACCTACATAAAGTTTTGCCTAACTTAATCCTTACTGCTAGCTCAAAAATCATTACGAATAAAGAAAAAAAAAGCCTCATTCACCGAGTTATTCATAAGCGTGAAGTAATGCTCAAAAAAATCACAAAACAGCACATGTAACAAATCAAAATAACGTCTTACTCTCAATTTGCTTTAAAAAAACAATCAAACTGCTGTCACACTACTGCTAAAAAACATAAGATACTCCCAACTGAAAAACTACAGCACCAGAAATACCTGGCATGGACGGTACATTATGGAATTGTTTGTGTGCAGTAGTCCTAAATTCTGTTTGAAAACTGTCGATTGACATGGGCAATTTCATTTCCGTCACTGCGATTCGGCACGACTCTCGTTCCACGGTGCCAATAACTTTGCCTTGTATTTCGGGTGTGTATATTTTTCCAAACCTCTTTGCAATGTTAGCAATGACATTCTTATAAATGATCTCGGTATCTGAAACACGAAAACACAGGTAAGTACAAGTGTGTATACCTTGGATTATTTCAGCATCTTTCAATACAAGGGCATATTGGATTTTGGCTAATTTATAAAATTCTTCTGGGGAGATAGGCAACTCTAACAACTCTACAATTTTCTTAGCTGCGTCTGCACCTGGTAGGCCCATGACTTGGGATTTAGCCGACCAATTGTAAACTTTTCCATAATTGTTAACAACGTTTTGCACTCCTAGTGTATATAATTTCTCTGTATCTATAAAGTTTTTTAAAGCGATTACTACTCAAACATTGCCACTGCCAATGAAATATTTACTTTGCTACATTTGCAGTGGTTGAATAAAATGTTATTAAAATTGTATCTAAATGTAGTTGCGTTTAATGTATTCAACAAATAATATAAATTTTATGACTTATTTGTGTTTTTTTTCCTATTATGTTAACAACTTTCTTAGTAACAAAATATACAAAATTCACATTTTATTTAGAGGTTTATCTAATTTTGACAGTGACATGAATTTATAACCCCACATTATTTATGTAACCTATTAAGCTGAAGGTGCCTTTTGAATTGAAAGTTAAAACATACGTGTACCTACTATTAAAATATGTAACTTTATATATACGTCGAATAAAAAAAATACATACCTAACAGAACTCCGTCTAGGTCAAAAATGACATGGGTAACATTTTTAAATGCTCTACAACGGTTCATTTTAATTTTTCTGTTGACATATAAGAAAACATATGCTTCATATAATTAAACATATATTTAAATAAAATAAATTAAACTAGGAACTGCATTTACATAGGTATTTCTGTTTTATACAGAAATATTTAAGCACACAAAGGTGCCTATTTTAAAATCGGTATTAGGATTAGCATTGTATCATCATGTGTCATGGTTACTGTCAATCCATAGTTGCCATATTGGAGGAAAACCTTTAAATTATAATATACATGTATAAAATGTTTGTTATTCTATATTTGTATTTGTTTTTAATGTTAATCATTGTGTATACTATCAATAATGACCAATATTCTGAAATTACATACCTACAATATAATAAGTAGTCAAGACCAAATTTGGTAAATCAAATATCAAATATGGTATAATCCGTACAGTTTAATAGAGCTAAATTAAACTAATACTCAGAGTGACATAAAAATTTTTATTCCAATTCCCTCAAAATTTCAATGCGTTCCAATGTTTTTTGAAAAAGATATACCTAGCTAAAATTTGTTTTAAAAAATTATGTTTGAAGTCCTGTATCTCAAAAACAAAAGATGGGCCCATGGTCTACAGGAGAAAAATCGTACCTATTTGGGAATTCAATTTAGTGTGTTACATTTTGGAGAAACCGGTACATTTGGCAACGTCGCGCTATTGCCGCTATTCTCCGCCACAGCGCAGGCGTCGCTTCAAACTTCAAAGCACTCAGCTTTTTGTGTACACAAAATAAAAACGCGAGGAATAAAGCCGTGTGCGTGTAGGCGTGCGCAAGTTCTTCGCCACCGGAGCCGCTGCATAGGTAACATCGCGTCCACTACTCATCTGCGACAGTGCGGTATGTGAATCGGGGGTACAGTGCCTTAGCAACCAAAGCAACCGTGATGGATTTGAAATAAAAAAAAGAGTACATATCTAGTTAGTATAGAAAAGCAATGGCTGTGATCGATAGGACTGAGAGGAGGTGTACTTTCGGTTGGAGGATGTATCAAATACAGGGTATCGTCGTTTTGTTTTTGGTGGCCGGAGCCGTGCTAGGCAACCCCCGGAGTTGCGACTTGGCCAGGAAGGAGGTGGCACAAGTCATCCAGGTCGACCCTCTCAGAGTGCTGGACAGACCCGAAACAGGTAGGTGTTGATGTTTTTGTTTTGTGACTGAGGCACTTGCGAATTTTTGGCAGGTACATTAGCCCTTAGCCCTACGTGAAGCTTTCAGGCATTTTCGAAACGTAACACGACACTGTGCAGAAAATACAACTGAGCTCGCCTTTTAGAAGTATTTATTTGTTATCTTATATATCTACATTATAATGTACCTTCAGCCTTCAGTTACCTATTCATTTATTTGACACTTGTTTCCACCAACAGTTTTTAGGGATTTCTTATCGCTAGGGAAAGAATGACTTACGCTAAGTAACCCTTTTAATTTACACCAAACCTTTATTGTTCTTGTCTGTCTAGTTTTAAAGTGTCAACAGTCACTACATCCACAATATCTAAAATTTGCGGTGTTGCAAGCGGCTTTTATGTCCTAGGAATTTCAGTTGTTGAATTATTCCAGGATTTTATTCGTTCTCTATTTTAAGCAAATCTTATCTATTCTTTGCCTAATGGAAATGATGGTACCTAATGAAAATTAAATACATATTTGAGGAAATAATGAAAAAATACATTTAGAATCCTACACAATATTGAACATACTTATATTAAATACAGTTAAATAGGTATCTAATAAATACATATAAATGCATTGAAATAGGTTTATACAGTTTTAAATACGCGTAAATAGGTACATACAGTTTAAATAACTTGCAAAAGTAGTAGTACATTTATAGGGGGAAATTGTATAAAATTTAACAAAGTTAATGTAATGACATTTTCTTTTAATTGTTGCAACAAGCTGTATTAAAATTGGCATGTTTTTTTAATAATCGTTAGTTTTAATGTTCCAGTCGCAATTTCGTGTTATTCTTAAGGCGTTTATGATGTCATAATTAAGATGAACTACCTATCTATATGAATGAAGGTTTACATGATTTACCCTCACAGTTTTTTGAAATTTGGAACAGACTATATTTCTTATTGACTTTAAACAGTTCATAAAAAACGAAGTTTTGCGTAAATATATATACTTATTTTTGTTAATTTGTCACTTGGCGGTTACTACTTAAAACTCGGTTTTATTTACATCTTATATAGATAGGTAAATAAAAAATAATATAGAATTTTTTATGAATCATTTCAAGTAATGTATCTTTATCTCTAAAACGAAGTGAATGAAATAAATTTTAGGCAGTACCTATGTGAAAATTAATGTAAGTAGATACTGAATGAATTATAGAATCATTTCTACAAAAATGTTATTGTCTCCAGTTTCTCCAGACCTTTGCAGAGCTAAGCTTTTTATGACAAAAAACCTATCTGTATGTAAGGTATGTATATGATATAAATAAATGAGTCCAATTTTGATTAAAATATATTTAAATTTAGATACATGTAGAGAAACCCAAATTTTGGTGATTTAACGCAACTTACTTTTATACTAAATATAAGCCTTGAAGGTGGGGTTTCAAATTTCGCAAAAAATATGTCAGTTATACTTGAATTTAGAAAAACTAAATTTGGTACACGGTGTAAGTGTACCAAGGCATTTATCGACAGTAAGTAGATTCCACAGTCCTATTGAAGTATTTTAAAGGATTGATAAGGGATAATGCACCATTAAAATATGACAGAATTTTTTAACCCGTTGGCGAACTTAAAAAAATTCTTGCTTTATTTTATGGGGAATTTAATTCTAAAACTTTTCTTCTTGTTAGTTTTCAAAATAACTAATAATATCTACGTATTGTAGCTGTGTTATTTAAAATCATCGAAAACTCAATAGTTGGTTATGAAATTAAACGTCAAACTTGACGATCAGGAAAAAGGTAAATAATTTTAGTATACTTAATTATTTGTTGATTGTTACTTATCAGTGCAAATTGTATGTTATTTCTGTTGTTTAAGTTGTTTGTTTTTCTATTAAATTATTCTTATCCAATTCTCTAACGGGCGTTAAGGGTTAATTTTCTAATTTTTTAAAAGGTCGAGAAAAAATTTTTGTTTCGATTTTCTTTCTTTATTAGGCCTTCCGAATACGTGGTTAACATTAAAGACATTATGACTGAATCACCCTGTATATAATATAATTCGTACGACTTTGTCCAGCGGAAACCATAATCTGCCTCGACTTAAATTTTGAAAAGCCAAGAGACGACAACAAATTCATTAAATACTTAAGAGTCAAAACATCTATATATCTACATTTTCTCAAAAAAAAAAAAAAAATAAAAATAATATAGCACAAATAATCTATTTTTACTTATTTGAAAGGTAGGTAGGTAGTCAAAAAAAAAATGTTTAGCGTACTAAAAAAATTATTGTCTTTTTTCTAAAGTTGGATCTGTTAAAAGTTTATTACAAATGGTTTTTAATGTTTTTGTATAAGACAAGTATTTATTTATATATGTATGTGGAATGATTATAAACAGCATTGATGAGAGAAATAAAGTTTTCCTTTATTTTCTTTTCTTAGGAATGTGTGATGTAATTTTAATTGTAGAGTTAGGTACAAATGAAAAACTAGCTATTCAAATTACCCTGCCTGTACCCTCAATGAGGTTATAGTGTGTTCGCTAACGAAACTACTTCAGCTGACGTCACAGAATATTCCAGCCATGAAGCACGGCCTTCTTGTATAGGTGGTATTGATTCGATGTCCTTTGTTAACTGTTGCTAGAGCCTCAGATGAATGATAGTAGGGAAGATTGATTGCTATGATTTTCGCCCACGTTTGATTTAAAAAGCGTTATAAATCGTCCCATTGAATTTTCCTTGTCCGCCTCAAGTTCTAGAAACCTAGCTTGGGACTTTGTTCAGATAATACTTTGAAATATTCTACGAACTCACCATTAAGTAGATACTTGTGAAGTATTCGTTTAGTAAAGTGTATTTTCTTTCATTTACCACCTATTTATTACATTAGCTATAATAGTCAAGTTTTATGAACGGTTTAATTTAAAAACATGCCGATCGATAACTTTATATTAAAATACCTAATAAGATGTTGCAAGAATCAGTATACAGGGTGGTCCGAATTTTATGCAGGAAACTTCGAGGGTAGATAGATCTCTTTAAAATAATATGTGTTTGCCTTATAAACATAGGTCCGGAACGGCCCCATTTTGGAGATACAGGGTGTTGACGTATTAACAAAAATTGATTTGTTGTTTATATCGCACACTACCTCATAGGTGGTGTAGAAAGGAGTGTAAATAATTTTGCTGATGTGCTTACAAATTACACTTACTCTTAAACATAAACAAATATTCTCGTAATATTATCGTTAGAAGTGTCTGCCACAATGGGATTGTATTGGTATGAATAACTTGAGAACGGCGAATCTTAGGGAAAAAATTAAAGTCACCTTTTCAACGTATTTTGTACATTAAAATATAAATCAGTTACAATGGTATGTAAAAAATGCAGTGGCGTAGGTTTTTTTTATAAAAAAGGGGGTGACCCCTGTCCAGTTGTACACCACTGGTTGAACCTTTAAAGCTCATATTTCAGGGAATATAAGGTCCACTATCATACATTATATGTAGGTACCAAATTTTATTGAGATCGGTTAATAGATTTCGGAGATATAAACAAAAAATCAATTTTTTTTTGACAACTTCAACACCCTGTATCTCTAAAACGGTGCCGTTCCAGACCTATGTTTATAAGGCAAACACATATTATTTTAAAGAGATCTATCTGCCCTCGAAGTTTCCTGCATAAAATTCGGACCACCCTGTATAGGTTAGTAAATTTCGAATACGAAAGTGTGAAAAATATGTTTTTTTTAATGGGAGGCGTAGTTAACTGTGGTCGAAATAGATAGTTCTTTTTATTTTTCATTTCAAGTAACGAATAAATTCATTATTTTTTAAATTGAGAAGTTTTCGAAAAAATCCCCTGGCACGTCGATTTTGTTTTTAAAAATCGTACGTCAAAAAAATTTTTTTGACATACGATCCATATTTGTGATGTCATCGTTGTTCGAGATATGACGTCATCGACAATTTTTTTAAATAGCAACCCCCAATTTTTACCATGCCATTTGAAAGAGCGTGTCATTCTACATACACATGAAAAATTATGGTGTTACATAACAAAAATTTCAAGAAAATAATGTTTAAAGATTTTAAAATTTAATTTTCACAATACTGAAAATGATAATGATTATGTAAAAATCACTAACTTAAATGTTCAAATTGTGCACCGTTGGCTGCCTGACAGTAACCAAGACGATGAATAAATTCTTTTTGGACATTATCATTAACTTCAGGAGGTGTACGATGTATCTCGTGACGAATTCTTGCTTTTAAATCTTCTAAATTAATCGGTCTAGTAACGTATATTTTCCTTTTTAAGTATCCCCACAAGAAATAATGTAGGGGTGTCAAATCAGGCGATCTGGCTGGCCACTCAATCGGCCCCCTTCCCCCTATCCAACGATTCGGGAACAGCTCATCTAAATAAGCACGGACAGGTGTTGCATAATGGGGAGGTGCACCAGTTTTTATACGATTTTTACATAATCATTATCATTTTCAGTATTGTGAAAATTAAATTTTAAAATCCTCAAACATTATTTTCTTGAAATTTTTGTTATGTAATATCATAATTTTTCATGTGTATGTAGAATGACACGCTCTTTCAAATGGCATGGTCAAAATTGGGGGTTGCTATTTAAAAAAATTGTCGATGACGTCATATCTCGAACAACGATGACGTCACAAATATGGGTCGTATGTCAAAATGCGCCTTTTTTAAAAAACAAAATCGACGTGCCAGGGGATTTTTTCGAAAACTTGTCAATTTAAAAAATAATGAATTTATTCGTTACTTTTCGAAAGCACTGTATGTATAAATCTGACTGAGTGCCCAAACGCTTTCGGACAATGGCGATATATAAACACATAGGTATATCATATGTGCACCACGTGATTATAGTTCGCACGTCTATTGATTTAATTTCACACAGACAGAAATCACAACTCCGTAATGTAATATCAAATTTTTATTGCAAATTTGTA